AAGTACCTTGGAAACAAGCCACAATCAATGCTGCCTAGAAGAAAGCCTGTTCCTTCCCGAACTCAAGCTGTGACTCTGACTACAGGTGTGTGCAAAGGACTTGGAGTGCTAATATTAGAACACTCTGCCGCGCACTGGGTACCTCTCTCACCGGCACTTTTAGTCCCAATTTCTTGTCCACGGCACAGTGAAAAGTTAATTTATTGCCAACAGCGGCATGAGCCATGGCCACGTACTAACTTTGGTGATATCTGATCAAAGGCTGCTCTTGCTTTGCCCCCTGGGAAGGCCCGGGCGCGTGCGTCGATTTGGCTTTTATGTAAAGTTGCACGGGCACTTGTTAACGGTGCTTTTTACTATACAGGTACTAGTCGTTGCCTTGCCCTTCTTCGAAACAGCCACAAACACCAGGGCAATGTTCAAATCTACACACTAGACCGATTAAATGCATCTAGGCAGTTTAGCTCGAGATAACCGAAGTGCTTTCAGCATAACAACATCTCTCAGTCGCATGTGAGTTCGCAGCACAGGCCTCAATGAAGCAAATTGAATGGGTCGGGCGGCTAGAGCCGAGTCAATCTGGAGGGTACCTGTGGCTGTGTGTGACAGTACCACTGTTGATTGGTACCTCCATTATGTGAACCTACCAAGGCTGGTTGGTGCCTTATGTACCTGCTCACGATGATGACTTACCTAATATTGCCCCTCCTGGTGGAGTAGCTGCTGCCAGCTGCAGACAATCGACCAGCCACAGAACAATAACAGAGGCAGATGTGTGAATGAATGCTCGAGTTGGGGAATGAATGCCTATTGTGTGGCTAGAGGCAACGTGATTCACTCTACCAATCTACTTGTATTGTCGCTTGACCGCAAGAAGAAGAAGGAAGATTAAAGGACCGGACGTGAATGAATGCACTGCTGCACGCACATGCATGCCTGAGGTGTGCATTGAAGCAGGTAGTAGGTTGCAATCTGCAGGTTTCTTGTTCTATTCCCTTCTCTCCGGTTCCCTGTTGAGACCACCAATAACAAGAGGGTCCGAGTACCCCATCCTGATCGGTCAGTGCTGGTAATACTAGTAATACGACCTCGATTGGGTACCCAGTTGCAAATCCCAAGGACAACTGAGACTGGCCGGAGAAGGGAATGTGCCCATCCTTCACCGGTAATACATCCGGCATCTTAACTGGTGACTGCTAGGATAGGTACTGAATCATTGAAATTTGTCTAATTTGTCGCGTGTGGTTGGAATGCTTGTCCATCTGGCGATTTTGCTTACCCACCTTCTGTTGGCTGTCGTTTTCGTATTGCAGTGCCAGGATGGATCCGGGACGATGCCACCACACGCCCGACATTATCTGCCTGGTAATGTAATGTAGATTGGTGAGTTGTCCTCGGAAACTTAGCATCCTCCCGCTATAGGTTGGAGCAGATGCAGCCCCGACGAGTCCATGCAGCACCAGATGGCGCTACCATGCCAGTATGAACTGATGATGCGCAGCAGAAGCTGGAGAAGCGCAGGAGAGCGCAACGCAATGGAAAAGACGGTGTCCCGAGTTGGAGCCACGTGGTGTGAGGTTTGTGTGTAGAGTGCGTGATGATCCCCCATGTGTCCATTGTCAGGCGCAATCTACAGCACGTTGCCCGTTTTAGACTGATGCTGCAAACACTTTCTGGGAGCCCCTCCACTCCGTCTCCCCCCCAAAAATCACAGTCAAGGCCAAAACTGTGCTTGGATCGCGGGGGATGTACCGCCCCAAGCGTCAACGCCCGCCAGCAACAACGCGTGCGGCAACGCTCAGCTCCAAATGGTGTAGTAGAATTGATGGAATCTGGGCAGGATCGCCTAGCCTCTGCTGTGGCCGTCGTCAAGGGCTTGATGTGCTGCTAGTCCAGGCGCTATGAGGTCATGCCGTGGGCAGCTCGACTCAGTAATTACCATTCAGCAGTGTTAGTTGCGGCACCCTTGAAATTACCAGGTGCTATTGCTGGTAGCTGCTGCTGGCTGTTGGTAATCATCCAATCTAGGGGGACCATGTTGCCTGACCTTCTTTTTTCTGAATCGATCTGACCTTATCAGCACGCACCTTGACCGACCTTGTTGATGACTTTTGCTCTCTTTTATTTTCCGCTATTATTTCGTCCTTCCCTATAATACATTCTCACTCCTTTACCGCTTACCGTCTGCCTTTCCCTCTCCCTCCCTTCCTCTATTCCTCATCTTCGACCAACCTTCAACTCGGGACAACCATTCTCGCCGCCCTCCTGCTCGTGTACTTTCGACAGATCCGCTCGCCTCACCAAAAGGAGTAGACACACACTCCCACCCACACCTACGCCGTATTCGCTTCTTCCTACGTTCCCGTTCGCTGTACTATACCTCGATTTGCACATATCGACATCGACAACACTTATATAAACCTATCGACGTTGCCCTCTTCTCCCACAGCGCGCGACAGCTCGCACCAGCGCCGGACGCTTCTTGTTGATTGTCGCGTACCCTCCAATTTCTCGAATACACAAGCCTAGAAATACTCCTTCGAACAGCCTTGCGCTCCATGTTTGCGGCCCGCGATCGCTGCAGAATAGCTCCATCAGGCCATGTGGCGTCGAACATATCTCCTACTAGTTGCCGTTAGGCTGTGGTTTGCTCTGTCGCCAAGCTATCTGCATCCTGACGAGAATTTTCAAGGCCCCGAAATCATTGCAGGTACGCATACACACTGGTGAAAATTTCCGCCCGTTCCATGGTCATGCTCAGCTGTGCTTTGCGAATTTGTTCGGCTCCAGCACAGCTCGCGCAACCACTCTCCCCAAAGCTCACTACCTTGACAGGGATGTCTTTTCCAGATCGCAGAATCTAACATCTACTTTTCTGGCCGAATCTAGGTGAAATCTTCAGTTATCCCGTCCGGCGCACATGGGAATTTACGAGCGATCACCCGATTCGAAGCGTTTTCCCCCTATGGCCCGTTTATGGCTTGCCTATGCTTCTCCTTCGCTGGCTGTGGATTGGTAATGGGCAGGATGGCGAAATACCCCCTATTGCAGTTTTTTGGACACTGCGAGTCCTCATGTTTCTCACCAGCTTCGTGTTGGAAGATTGGGCTCTTCACGAACTGATCCCTTCGCCAAGAAATAGGCGAGTCGCAGTCTTGCTGGTGGCCTCGTCCTACGTTACCTGGACCTATCAGACTCATACATTTTCCAATTCGGTCGAAACACTGGTTCTCGCTTGGAGCTTGGTCTTGATCCAGCGCATAGTGGATGTTCGGGTATGTTTGAGCCTACACTTTTGTGCCCCCTTTTATGGCTTGCCGTTCTAGTTGACTGACGATTGCCGTGCTCAAATAGCAACGATCATCAATCCTATCCTCTGTTATTCTTGGGATGGTTTGTGTTTTTGGCGTCTTCAATCGCATTACTTTTCCTGCTTTTCTCCTGATACCCGGGCTTCGCCTACTTAAGCATTTCTTCTATAGGTATGTCTTGCCAGTATTCTACACCGGATATTTGCTGTGCATTTCCAAGATTCGAGGCTAACTTTAGCAGACCATTTTCCCTTATTGCCCTAGTTTTGGCTGCTTCTATCACCACCTTGGTCGCCATTTCGCTGGATACGGCTTTTTACTCCCCAGAGCCACTGACCTGGGGAAATCTTTACAACAACCTCACGAATAACCCTGTCATCACACCTTGGAATAATTTCAAGTACAATTCCGCCGTTGAAAACCTTGCTGGCCATGGTTTACACCCCTGGTACCAGCACTTGGTTGCCAATCTACCAATGTTGATTGGGCCGGCAACACTTCTCTTTTTCTACCGCCCACAGCTCTCATTGAGATTGGGCTCGGCTCTGTCGGGTGTCGCCGTTCTGTCCATCTTCCCCCATCAGGAAGCTAGGTTTTTATTACCTGCAGTACCCTTGGTTCTATCCTCGCTCCGCCTACCCAACAATTTGATTGCTCTCCGCATTTGGGGTATCACCTGGATCATATTCAATGTCTTCTTTGGTGTCCTAATGGGTTCCTACCATCAAGCTGGTATTATTCCAGGTCAGGTTTTTATGAGTGGCCAACCCGACGCTACCAATGCTGTTTGGTGGAAGACATATACGCCCCCTATTTGGCTCCTGAACGGGAAAAACGAGGTGCTTACAACCAGAGACGTGATGGGAATGAAAGGCGAGTCCCTCCTTGAGGAGCTAGCGACGCTTGCGACTTGCGACACCCCGGCAGACAGGCGCAACCAGGAGTATTTAAAGGAGAAAAATGGCACATACCTAATTGCGCCCGCTTCCGCCACATGGCTCGACCCATATCTGGAAAACAAAGGTCTAGATGGCCTCCGATTCCGCGAAGTTTGGCGGTACCGGCACCACCTAAACCTGGACGACCTGGACTTTGCCGAGGATGGCGTCTGGGAGACCTTGACCAGGGTGATAGGTCGGCGGGGGCTTGTGGCATGGAGAGTCACAAAGAGTTGCTAAAATACGCTCCTCTTTTTTTCTCTTGTTTGGACTTGAACTTATGAAGCGATCGATAGTACATAGATATAGATACCACGCGGGCACGTGCCCATTAATACAATACATAGAATCAATCCTACTACATACAAATTTTAGAATCCCACTTCCACTTATATTATGCCCACCTCCGGCACAAATTCCATTCGTCCTGGTAGATCATACAGCTGATGTTCGACAACGAACAATCCTTCGTGAGAGTGGCATTCTCGTCTTGTAAAAGCCGCTAATTCGGGGAGCCGTATTACTTACACTTATAGCTACTATTTTTCTATAGACTACGTAGGGAATCATTCAAGTACGAACCGGACATTGTTTGGAGTGCGATTATTGCATTGCTTACTAACCCATCCTATGCTAAAACTTAGAGGCTTATCCCAGCCTTCAGCAACCATGATATATAGGCCCCCGGCAATGCACAACCATCATGCCCTCAGCAAAAAAAAAAAATAGAAAAAAAGTTTTGACTCCCAGCTTAGTACAGGCGGTGGGGAGGAGACATGGAAGCCTTGATGACCAGGCTTCCAACGTTCTGCCAGCCCTTCTTGAGGAGGGAGACGAGGTAGTTGATGGCAAGCATGATGTTACCAATGAGCTGCTCCTGGCCCATCTCGACGTTGCCGACGGCGACACCCATGCAGAGAACCTTCTTGAGCTGGAACTTGATGGTGGACTTGACCTCGTTGATGCGGCCAGTCAGGTCGTCGGCGTGAGAGACGGGGGTGGGGAACTTGCCAGCTATTAGTGGGATTGTTAGCATCGTTGGAAACAACTTGGGTATTCTGTGCCATGTGATGTGGCGGTGTGTTTTTGCTTACCCTTGGACAGACCGGGACCGAGGAGACGGGGGATCTGCTTGATGAGAGCCTCGGAAGCAATGAAGGCATCGTACTTGCGGGCAAGCTTCTTGATGAGCTTCTTGTTCTTGTTCAGCTTCTTGAGGTCATCAGCGGACATGGCGTCGACACCGCCGTGCTTGGCACGGTCGAGATCGTGCTGGTCACCGAGGATACAGATGGCCATGTTGGGGCGGGGGATGGCGGGCAGCCTGATGGTGCCGGAGAAACGCTTGTCACGCTGGGGGTCATAGTTCTTCAGGCCGATCTGGAGCTCAACGGTCTCAAGGAAGTTGCGCTTCTTGGTCTCGTTGGAGTACTCCAAGAGCTCGGCGACTTGCGTCCGGACATTAGCTGCAAAAGAAATGTTAGCAGGCTGTATCGTTTTTTACGGGTTCGCGCGGTCGATCGTGCACGGAGATGGTTGTAATCTCGATTCGTACGTACCGACTGTGATCTTAGACATTTTGTCAGTCTCCCAAGAGAACCTGTTCAATTGGTGGTCAGGACGGGAAAGTTGGTTGAGGAAATCGAGGTGGAGGCTCTTGTGCGCTTGGAGGATTAATTTTTGGGTGTTGCGGAAATGTGGGACGTGGAAGTTAGTGGGGTGGGAGGGCAAAATTTCCTCACGTGTGTATGCACGTGATACCCTCCTGGCGAGAGAAAGTATCGTTTAGTAGAGGATCACTTACACGGAAAGTAGCGCGAACCGGTGCTGGTGTGTTGATTCTTTGTTAGTTCAATTGGCTACATGATATATCTATACTCCCTGTGTCGTATGTTAGATATTTCTTGCCAAAGAGCAATGAAATAGCTGGTGTACGTCCAGGAAAGCCATGAGTTCCCATTCGGAAAAACTCGCCAATGAGCTGGCGAGTCATCAGGAGTTGCTCGCCTGGATTGAGAACCAGCCAAAAGAATCCCAGATCCAGTGAGGCCTATCCAAGAGACGACATATGGCCCCATATCGAATGAACATTCTAACACAAGCACAGAAATGCAAATCTCTCCTTCGCCAAGCTGCTGGAGGAAGCCGGGCAGCCCAAATCCGTTTCGGGGAATGCTTGTGTGAGACTATGCGGTTTTGTTGATCACTTTTCTAAATCAAAGTTGGATCAACTTCAAAGCTGGGCATTTTCCGAGGATGTCGCCCAACAGTTGTTCACGTTTTACATGGAGTGGAATGAGTCTGATCACCATCGCTCGATGAAACTTGTTCTGGATCTCCTCACTCGGTTGCAAAAGAGAAACCCGGATGTCTCAGCCGCTAAAACCACTGAGAAATCTCTCCTGGATTACTTGATTTCTATCATTGTCGGACTTAAATCAAAACCAGTGGCCAAGTCGGCCATCAAGACCTTGGACTATTTTGTCTCGAAAAACATATATTCTCTCAATGACATAAGGCTCTCCTATGTTAGAAGCCTTCCAGACAAAGAGTCTCTCGGCGAGATTGAGGTATGGCACGGCTTTTTTGGCGAACTGTTTTCCTGGATGAAGAATCACTTTGTCTGCCCGACGGCCGGGAGATTGGCTGTGTGTCTTTACCGCCGCCTTAGAAATGCTAAGAACCAACCACAAAGTATCATCAGTCCCGAAATCTGGCATCAGTGGCTTCTTGAGTACATAGAAGAAGACCCTTCGCTCCTTGAATCTGTGAAGAATTACATCTTTCTGCCACTGTTCAGCGCGGAGAGGACCGAGGCATTAGAATTCCTGCGGATGATGGCGAGCAGCGATATCATTGCGTCCAACAGGGATATAGATGTGAATCTTCCCGCTCTTTTGCAGCTGGCCGCCTTGGAAACTGGGAAAAGAGTAGGGTTGGTTGAGGAGCCGTGTAAGAACCCCCCTATAGTCATGACCTAGGTCTCACTGTCCCTGAGGTTTGGGTGCTAATCTACCAGCACAGCACTGAATACTGGCAGTCAAGAAAATGACGGAAAATCTTCTATTCTCATGAACCAGGACATCCTCAACAGTGTGTTGGCTCATCCGTCTCATGAAGTTCGATCTCTGGCATTTTCTCTTCTCATTACCTCTCCATCGACCACCAGGCCATATTCCCTCGCAGCCTTGAATTTGTTACGACAGCACTTGGGGACCTACTTTGCAGATCCAGACGCCAAATTTCGTGTCGATGTCATGGCTAGGGCACGAGATATGTTCAAGAGAGTAAGAGGCGCTATTTGTGTCCTCAAAAGAAGCATCCCAAGAGTAAGAGCAAAAGCTTTAAAGCGAAAGGCAGCAGAAAGGGCTACTGCAGAAGGGGTTTCACCTGCAGCAGATGCCCAACCCATCCTATATCGTTCCAACTTGGTCGACCTCCCAGAAGAACAACTAGTCCACTGTCTAGAGTATCACTCAGAGTTTCTCAGCTGGTATATAGGCTACCTTTGCTCAGAGCTCACGCCGACAGCTTCTTACCAACGGCATGTTGGCTCCCTGAAAGCCATTTCATCCATTCTTCGGCTAGAGTCCGACCCAAAAAAGGATTGGGGAACAGATTCTGACCAGGAGATCTTCTATGATCTCGTCGACAACAGATGGGCACGGGCCCTATTTGACCTTGTCATGGACCCGTTTGACGATGTGAGGGAACTCTCTTCGGCTGCCACAAGGTCGATTCTCAGCGATATGAGATACAGGAAATTTTCTTTATCGGGAGCGAGTCGTACCAACTCTCCTGTTGATGAGCTACAAGACCTGTCGAATCGAGCAAATGAACTTTCCCGAAGAACAGCAAGAGCTGATCATTCCGATGGTGCAGCAAGGGCTTGTCAGCTTCTATATCGATTCTTTGGTGGTGAGACTAAGCAACTGGATTTCATTTCACGCACCATCGATAAACTAGAGGCCAAAATTGCACTTGCTCAGTCCAACCTTGGTCAAGCTGTGCTCGAAGACCCTGTTCATGGCGACTTCTCTGCCCTGCGTTATATCTGGCAGATTGTCTCTACGCAAGCATTCAGCGGGTCATCTCTCGATGCCGCCCAAGCAGTGCAGAATAGACTGGTGAGCTGCTGTGAGCAAATATGGAATGCCGTTCGTGATATCCTTTGCGACGACAGTCCCGAAGGTCATTTGCCTCAAGAATTGGAGGAAGTGGATGGTATCAATACTAAGGATATTCTAAGCTACAGCTTCCGAGCTATTCATGAGTCAAGGTAATTTCTAGTATTCTGTTCTTATTATTTCAAATAATTAGTTCAAATCATACTAACATAAACTACAGCAATCTCATCCGGGCGATGGTTCTCACAGTCCGGACCAGGTCACAGGCAAAGTTCATCAGCCCCTCATTGGAATCTTTCAAGAGAATGGGTGATCTCTCATTCATCCAGCTCTCGACCCTGAGGCACCGGGGAGCCTTCTCGACTGTGTCATCAACTTTTTCCACATGTTGCCAACAGACGCAGTACTTGAACAAGAAGGGTGGCGGTAGCAATATCCTAGACGCGTGGTACCAGGTGAGATTCGTCTCTTCATCCTATACAAACTATTCATTGTGTGAAGTCGAAACTAACTCACGAGGACCAGGGGACCATGAGTGCCATTTTTGCCCAGGTCTCGACCACACGCCGTTCAGCAGGTATTCCATCACTCATGACAGGCATACTCTCTGCAGACGCACCTTCTCCTTCCTTCGAGCAGGTGATGGAGAAACTCATCGAGATTTCAGGAGTCGAAGCATTCGTCCGTGAGACTGACGGTTCCAATCTTCCCCAAGTCCACGCATTCAACTGCCTCAAAGATATATTCAAGAGCTCATTCCTAACATCAATGGGGAACAAATCCGAGAAATACCTCCCTCAGTGCTTGGAGCTGGCTGCAAATGGCCTCCGGTCCGAAGTCTGGGCAATTCGCAACTGTGGTCTTATTCTCCTCCGAAGCCTCATCGACTGTCTCTTCGGCTCCAACGAAAGCAAAGCAATGATAGAGTTAGGGTGGGACGGGAAGGCCAATCGTATTCCATACCACCGCTATTCAACATTACCCAGGGTTCTAGTCAACCTACTCGAGTCTGGCCACCAGATGATGTCTGTCACTGCCACGAGCGCTGCGGGTGCGGAATCGGTATTTCCAGCACTCGACATCGTGAGGCGTGCGGGCCCCCCTGACGAGCTTCGTGAAGAGCTCATGCTGCATATATCCACATATCTGGGCAGTCCAGTGTGGCACGTCCGAGAGATGGCCGCCTGCACACTTTGTTCTTGTCTACTGCACGACAAATGGCTTGTGGTCATGCAAGACCTCCTCCAACAAGCGATTAATGACCAAACTAAAAATTCCCAGAACCGAATCCATGGAGTGCTTGTAGCGCTCAAATTCGTCATTGAGAGGCTCGCTGAGGTATCTCCTGAGCGTCTCACGCGTAAGTCTTTTCTTCATTCTATAAAAATTCCAGATCGTGACGACCAACAACTGACATGCATGATGTAGCCAATTTGTCGAACCTGGTGCAGCTCCTCCATGAGACCAAAATTGATTCTCACTACATCCATTGTCCTGATATCCTGGCCGCATATGTCGAGGTTATCAATCTCATATGGGGCCTCCTCTCTTCTCTCGAGTCGGAGTTTTCCTCAAAGTCTCTGGAAGTATCAATATCTACTGCCTCAGATAGTGCACTCCTGAAGATCCAACGTATCAAGCATCAGTTACTAGCTGCAAAGTTCAACGTCTCATCCCTTGATGCTCTCAACACTCTGCTTCTCGAAAATAAACTAGGTATCAACACTATGCTCACAGCCCTCGAAACCCTTCCACAGCTCTGGAATGTCTCCTCCGCGTCATCTGAAGTGCTCGCTCAATTTTCTAGCCTGTATGTCAATATTTGTCTCGAAAACAGCTCGCTTGATGTTCAGGCTGTTGCTCTCGAGAACCTTGCAGACATTCTTGAGCATTTCATAGGGCAGACTAAGGACACGGAGTTGCTGAGGTCATTGCCCCTGGAACAGCTTCTGGAATCTTTGCTCTCCCACACCCTGAACCCATCTCTTTCCAACGCCATTCTCAGAGTTAGCGGGAGCGCAGTTGCCCTCATGAAACTCTTTGGTCGTTTGTCTACCAGCAGGCTCCATAGCTGGGGCATCATGATGGCAGATGCTGGCCTCGATGATAAGACATTCGACAGCCGTTTCGCCGCCGCACAGTCACTCCACGCCTTCTTCCTATCGGTCGGCGCCGATTGTACGGGAGATGATTTCATACCAGCTTTGGTTTCACTCTACGATACCCTGAACGACGATGATGACGAGGTTCGTGAGGTCGGCTCCCTCGCGGTGAGGTCCATCATTGGGCAGCCCCTGGTTCCCATCGAAGCAGCCAACCGCTTGTTACAGTGGCTCTCTGCTGAGTTCAGCAACTCCAATTCATTCAAGGCCGTTGCTGCCGCCAGAATCACCGGGGCTGCTGGCACGTCTTTCTCGAACCAAGAAATTCCATGGAAATCTGCGGACGAGC